AAGAAAAACTTTAATATAAGTTTAACATAACAGCAAATGTACAACGTTTCGACAAGGTTTTGTCATCATCATAAACAATGATCAGTACGTTTGCTGTTATGTTAAACTTATATTAAAGTTTTTCTTCATTACCCATTCAAGCCGTCTCCAGCCATTATTAAAACTTGTGCTTGTTTACTGTTTCACCCAGTATTTCCCAATTGTGGCACCAAAGCCAATAACGGCACTACTTATCAATGATCACTATGTAATAGTAATACTCATTATACTGTACTCTCCTAATAGGCCTAGTAGTACTTATTATTACTATAGTACAACAGTAATCAGTACTTTTAGTTTTATGCTTAAGAATTAGACAAAGTAATAGTAATAGACTAATAGTACTAAGAGTAAGACTAATGTAAAGTGGTAACTAAAATAAAAAACTATACTACTACTAGTACAAGTGTAACATTACTAAAAAGTAAAATTAAAAATAAAATACCTGTATGCCACACATTTACTTTTTAGTAAAACTGTTTTAGTTCACAAACAAATAATAGCATCGTAAGTACAACAATTATCACAAAAACAAAACAAAAGAGTACCAATACATCATACCACGTGATTTCAAGAAATACACAATAAAGCTCACAGTTTCACTGTCACCGACAATCCAACACACTTTAAGATACCATCTTCTTAACAACTGCAACAGACGAACAATATTTTGTTTGATGCTCAGTAGTGACGCCTAAAAACATAAAGTAAAAAATAGTAACGTAAAACAAAAATATAACAAGATTAGTAAAAAATTGTTAATTTAAAAAGGGGGATAGGGGTCGTCAAAAAGTACAGAAACAAGTTCAATCAAAATGCAAAAATTATAATTTCAAGCGTATAGCTAATGACTCTAAAAACACATACAAACAAAGCTAAAAATAGTGTCTACATTATTTTTAAAACTACAAATCCCTATTTTGACCCCATGTCTACAGTATCAATTTCACTGAAGTCAAAATAGGGATTTGTAGCTTGAGAAAATAATGTAGACACATTTCTAGACTTTTTTTGTTTGTTTATTATATAATAAGACTTGAAGAGGGGTTTGTGTTAGACATACATAAACTGTTTCGCTTAAATTGAACACGCGAGTTTTGTTCTAGATAGTTATAGAGCACGAGTGTTAGACTTAGTATCATTAGAAGCGATAGTTTATTGCACGTTTGCTTGCGGAACTGTTTATGAACCATTTATTATGTAGTTTAATGTTGTGAATTGACGCCATGTTACTCAAACCTTCTGAATTTTTCTTGTTCCTTTAAAGTGAGTATTGTTACATCGTAATATCTTGTTTGTAGAAATTTGTAGGCCTCAGTTGGGCAATACATACATATTGTTGCGTATCTCCTTGTTTGTTAATTTCCAGTATAATTTCTTTCAGCGGTACAAGTCCCTTCTTGATTAAAACTAGTTTATTCTTTCTTGATACAACTTTGTAATACACAGAATTTCCACAGTCACTTTAAACTTAACAACCTTTATAACACGCGCTATAAATCACAGAGATTCACACACACTTTACTTACGGTGCCTACTGTTCGCTTGACTCAATTATCTATCTCTTCGATCTATCTGCATATTTATCTCTGCCAATTATATTTCTCTGCTTTATTTGCCGGGCTTATATACTAAAATAGAGGGCGCCTAGAGAAGACTAGAGTTGCCAGGAACAGTCATGATCCTTCTACAAACTCCAGCACGCATGCTTCCAGCGTCGCGTGACTTCCGCTGTCGTAAAAATATATATATATATATAGGCGACCAAATGAATGCAAGTGTAGTTAGTGAAAATTAAAAAAGTGAAGTCAGACTGTGTGTGAGTTTAGCTATAATGGGCAATTCGTATTGTAATAACAGAGATTAAGGAGAATAATTTGTCTTGACAAAGGGTGTTCTAAAATAATTCAACCCACCTGTGTGGACTTTTACGAAAAGAGACAATTATTTAAAGCTATGGATACAACTGTGATAATGAATAGTGTAACGAATTTTTGTGCATACGTTTTAACTTGTTTTGAATATATTATTTTAAAACAAGTGGATTGTGTGGTGTCCATTTATTGTTGCAATTTATCTCCAACAAGTCACAGAGGTCTATTGTAAAGAATCGTGGCCCTATACAAACCTAACACATTTGTCATTATTCTGTTGTTTACTGCAAGTGACAGTTTGTGAATTATTGTTAAGAAAGTCTTTATATTGAGTATAAGGTGAAAAATCACTTTCCTCAGCATCCCATCACGTATTTCTCTTCCTTACAGTCATAACAGATGTAACAGTCATCCTTATATGTCTCGCATCCTAACAGTTGTTTACCACTTTTCTCATATTCGTGAAATTAATCTTGTAATTCCTGCACGAATTTCTTGAGAGAATACAGCAGATGAGAACTGACATCCATTTGGGAATTTGCAGTGAATGACTTGTATTGTGAATCCTCTCCAGAAGAATGCTCCATAATTCTGTCTTTATACCTGTTTCTAGTTATTTCAATTGTAGCATAAGGCTTCTTGACATCTGTAATGGAAGCAAGGACTTGTATTATGGTTTTGCATCTCATTTTTAAATTTCCCATTGCGTCTCAATGGGAGATTCACATATAATCTGACAACCTCCTGAGAACCCTAGTTTTCCAAGTATATTGTGTAGGTGCTTCCGCAAACGGGGTTAAATCGGAAAAAAACGCATAAAGTTTCTGCACAAAGGCATAGCATATATAAGCTTCAGTACAGTAGTCCACAGTGCATTGTCCAAATTTCAGTAAATGAGCACAGCAGCGAATGTAGTCTGCTAGGTGGTTCTTCTCTTTGATCAAGACTTGTCTGCCAACATATTTTCTGCCCATATTAAAAGACTGTCCACGGCAATCTCAAATTTTTATATCATTATTTTCAAGAAAACAAACGAGAACTCTAGAAATTTCTCTACTATTTGATTTCTTACCAGTAAGAATGTGGCAAATCTCTATTCAAAGCCATCATCCAGAATGCATCTTAAGATTATTGTCAGTTGATCCGTGTGGCGTATGCCTGGAGTAGAATCAACAAGCACTGGGTAATACTTGGATGTTTTGGTTTCCTGGATAAGAGTCATTAGAACGTTTTTGTGTAGGATATCTATGAATCCATCACAAACAGTTGAGGACAAATATAAAACACGACCTTCTCCTTTATTTGCACATATCAGAAAGAGCTACGTAATAGTTTTGTAACAAACGATCGCATATCATTTTCGTATTTATCTCAAAAACTTCAAAATTTGAACTTGGATGACTTGAATTCTATACCTTCCAATAAATGATGCTGGTCAAGTTGTCAATAAATTATTTAAAGCTAATAAATGGGTCAATGTATGACAACAAGAAATTATTGAATTTTTACGGGATAACAATTTTCAAATTCCATTCAAAAACAAACTATTGGTACAATACACCCTAAAAGCTTAAAATACTGTTACTTACCTTGTTAGCAATGACTGAACTCTTTTCGTCAACACATTCCGAAGCATTTGTCTTGAGAATTAAGAATCAAAGATATAGATATCTTCTATCTAGCTTAGCAACTTATGTCTAGTCATATTCTAAGCCTACTGCTTGATTATACAACAAGAAATAGTGTATCCGGGCACTAGTCACGAGAGAGGAACCTGGCTGAAAGTGTCATGAAAATGTGGAGTGAAGAGATTTTGATTGGCCGAGGCCTATCATTCGATTAGTGTGTTAAAAACTCCCTCCTTGACAGTCTTTTATATAGCAGAAAAAGTGCCGAAATTTAGTAGCTATTTAGGCTTATGTTAGCGACTGAATTCAACTAAAATGACAATAGGCAATGAAAAGAAAAATTATTATAGGAGAAAAATTGGAACTGGACTGGTGTAACTCCCGAAATTCTGAGAAATCCAGCGCGACCAGCTGACTGTCCGACTTTCACTTGCCTTTTATGATTATGATATTCAGATTGTTTTTCTAAGTTAATGTTCATGCAGATTTTGATTTTTGTTATTATCTTCTCGGTAAAACAGATGTATCTTTGCTTATATAAAGATTACGTACAGCAATGGTTATTATTTAAAAGTTTGTACCAGCTTGAACTTGTATCTACACCTACTCCCTTGTGCGAGTTATATATTGTTACGTCTCCGTTCGTTAGTTAATTTTCCGTAACTTCGTTCCGACGAAACTTTAGCGACACAAGTCCTTTCTTAAATAAAACTGGTTTATTCTTTCCGAATACAACTCTACGATACACTTAATTTCAACAGTCGCTCTATAACAAACGCAATAACTCACGTCTCACGAGCTCGACTTCAACAATACTCCGTTCAATTATACACTCTCTGACTGCAGTTCAATTACTCATTGTCCCGTCACGTTGTGACCATCTTATATATACCAGACTACCCCCAATCTAGTAGTCTCCCGATAATTCACGAAGGTTCGAGAAGGACGTGGCGTGATACTAGTCACGTGACCTCGCTGACGCAACACTGCCCCTCCTTAGTATTGTTCGTCCCGAACAATAGCCACTAACAAACAATTAACAATAACTTAATTAAATGTTCAGAATTACAAACACAAAATTACATTTCAACAAAGTCTCTTAATTTTACGGGACGTATCTTCTTCCGTACTGGTCTCCGTCTCGTTGGCTTCTGCTTCACGTAGGGTTCATCTGCTTCTTCAGGAAATGTTCTATCGTCAGTAACAGTCACATCAGTGGTAGTAACTTCATCAAGAGCTTCACCATTTCTCTTCTCAAAACTGAGTAGAGTTTCTTCTTCAACATTGGCCTTTTCAGGTGACATGTCTTCAGCAGCGTCATTAGTTCTGTTGTTCACTTCGTCCCAACTGAAATGTCCTGGACCATGATAACGCCAAAGCCTGTTGGCATGCACCACTTTTGG